CGGGCAGGACCGCGCGGCCTGCAGCGCTCCGGGGCCCTCCCTGCCCCGGGAAAGCGCCAAAGCTCCGTCACTCCTGTCCAAATCCTTCCGTCTCCTCAATCGCATAAAGCAGCTTCTCCTTCAGCTGTTCATAACTCTTGTAGGGAGGGAGATCCAGGCGGTTAAAGCTGGAGAGACAGCAGAGGCTGGGAGCAGCGCCACGAGCACAGTTCCCTCCCCACGGCAGCTACGGCCCCCGGGAACGCGGGCGGAGGGGCCGGAGGGTGCCCGGGGCCCCGAGCAGCCCCGCAGAGGCTGCTCACGCTGTCCCCACACGCTCCTGACAGGGCCCCAGAGAAAGGACTTACCATGTATGGCTCCGAGGCAGCCACGTCTCTTTGCCAACTTTATCGATGCAGAATTTCTGGGGCCCGTTGCTGCCTGTTAATTATGAGCACAGCGAATGTCATTACACAACAAGGAGCTGAAAGAGAAAACCCTCCGACGCGCCGTTAGACAGCAGCTGGCACCGTCACGCGCCCTTACGATCCGAGACACATGTCAGGGCGTAAACCTGTAGCAGCACCGGCTGCCTGTTCCGATCCCCCTGCAGGGAGGGTGCACAGAACCCAAGGCAGGAGAAAGCCGTGCGGTGTGTTCACAGCCCGGAGAACAGCCCCGCTTCTGAACAGGATGGTTAAACAGCCAGTGCCAAAACATATTTATCCGTAGACCCACAGGACTGAGTGAGCCCATCCAAGAGTTTTAAAGGACCTGGCTCAGGAAGGCTGTCACTGAGGTCACTTTTTTAACAGATTGTGAATGCTGGAGAGGTTCCAGGGGGCTGGAAAAAAGCTAATACGCCAGTGAGAATTAAATGAGTGGGCTAAGTTAGCTGGTTAGGTCGACACTGATTCCAGGAAAGTAAGGGTAAGGCTGGTACAGGCCCCAAAAAGTAGCAAATTAAAAGGTTGAGAGCAGAGTAATGCCACACTGTGGTTTTCTGGAAAAGGGGTTTCGTTGCACAAAAATCAAAATTAAATCAAAACCCAAATCTCATGCAAAATGAGATTACAAACTGGACCGACACCGTTCCCTGTGGCGGCACAGTTCACGGCCAAGGAATTTTGTCTGGGTACGGCCACCGGGTTAGATCACCGTGCTCGGATGGCGCAGCTGCTCCGCTGCTTACGTGCGGCCTCGCGCTCCACGGCGGCGCCACGGCCAGCCCCGACCCAGCACCCCCGCTCAGCACCGGGGACCACGCACCGATGAGCTCCGCGAAGCCCCCGACGGGCAGGCGGCAGGTCCCCGTCACGAACTGCAGCAGCCGGATCCTCTTCTCGTTGTCCATCTCTTTAACCACCTACGACAGGAAGGCGACAGGATGGTGGGATCCCCGCTGCTCCTGAGCCCGGGGCACGAGCACCCCACGCCCTCCGGTGCCAGGCACGTGCTCCAGCTCTCGCCTCCAGCTCCTCAGGGACGAGCCATTTCTGACCCCCCTCTCCCCTGTCCAGCACGGAGCGGCTCCACCACGTGCCACTCCCTCCTGTCCTCAGTCAGCCGCTACTGCCAGGCACGTGCTGACCACGACGTGCGCCTGCTGGCCTCCTGCTCGCTGTTCTATTTCACTTCTCCCGACAGCCTGCGAGGCTGCCAGCCCCGGGCCAGCCCTGCTGCACCAGGCCCCGGGCAGGGGACGAGCCCAGGGCTGTGGAGCGGGTCAGAGGTGCTGCCGGCGCTGGGACTGACCTGCCAGAACCACTGGATCTGCTTGCTGTTCTTGGTGTAGTGCCGGTAGATGGTATTCTTCTGCCAGTCGTTCATGTCGATCTCCTGCATGCCGCACAGCATCAGCTGGGGACAGGGGACAGTCAGCAGGGGACAGAAACGGGGCCCTGCACCCACGCTCTGGAGCACTGACTCATCTGGTGCCAGGCTTCACCGGGCAACAGAGGGGTCTGGGGGAATTCCTCGCCCCTAATGAGGTATTCTCTTGCTAATGGACCCAATGAGCCACCCTGCAGACCCGGGGTGGGGGTACCCCCGTCACCAGAGCCGAGGGTGCTCTGCCATCACTGCGTGCCAGGTGGGAAGCGCCAGTATCCCCAGTATCCCCAGTATCCCTGCCCCAGCAAAAGCCCCAGCTTACCTCCAGCTCCTTCTCATCGAAGTAGCGCAGCCACTCCAGTGGCACCACCTCGTTGAAGCCGTCCAGGAAAGCCTTGGTCTGCTCCTCCACACCCCGCGTGAACCTCCAGTCTGTCAGCAGCCTGGGAGGGCGCAGGGCGGTCAGCAGGCAGCCAGCGTGCCATCGCTGTGGAGTAAAATGCTCACTTAGAGATTTTTTCCTACTCTTTGAATGAAACCTGCTTTTTCTGAAATGTTTGTTTTTTCAATGAGGTGTTGGTGATTATTGATGTGAAGCCAAAGGACCTGGGGCTGCCCACAGAAGCTTATATTTCGGTTGAAGAAGTTCATGATGTGAGTATTTTACGATGTCTCTCTGCCTTTTCCTAGGAAGAGGGTTTCTGTTAAAAGACGGCCGTTAGGATTGCCTTGTTCTCTGAAGGACGCACGTCCCATGGCACGGAGTTGCCTTTTAGATACGGGATGTTGCGCTGGCTAGTGAGGGCTTGTGACTTCCAGCCAAAATAAGCTGAACCCAGAAGTTAAATCCCAGTTGTAACGTAAGCATCCGTCACTAAAGCTTTCCTCCACCAGTGCTCTGGGAAGAAAAGCTGTGTGTACTGCTCCAGCTGTCTGTATGATTTAGGGGCTTCTTACCTGTTTCTGTCATGTCTGTGGCTGTGAAGAAAATCAGAGATAGGAGCACTTTTAAGATGTCACTTTTACACGTCAGCCTGCTGGCAGAGGTGTTCTGAGTAATTACAAGCTTATTCTTTTGTGCACCTGCCAGTGTGGAGTAGGCAGGTGGGGCCAGAGCAACACTTACTAATCACTTGCAGCACCGTGCAGACAAACAATGTCAGTAAGTCAGCTTTAGCTTTTCGTTTGGTGGAGTTAAATTATATTCTGGATGTATATAAAAAAGTGCCTTTGCCTTTCTGAGATCCTCACTACAGAGAAAAAAATCTGCTCCCAGTATTGTAGATCTTGTATCTGCAGGATTTGTTCTTCGTTTTGTGAATTCACAATAGTCCCAGTGGTGCTTTCCATTCACAGCCGTGTACTGGTCCTGGTAGTGGTTTTGAAAACACAGGGGTGAAACTTGTGCTCAGAAATTCAGCCTGTGAACCTCGTAAACATCTTCTTTAACATCTAGTGCATAAATTACAATTTTAATGAGATTGCTCCATGTTAGTATTTTTTTCTGAAACTGCCTCTCTGCTTCCAACTCAGAGCAAATACCAGGATGACAAAAGGTATCCCAAAATGTAATAAGGTGTCCCAGGAAAGAAAGAAAGGATTGAGATATTTAGTGAGACTTTCCATTCTACCCATCAGTACGCAGACCAGCAAAATACATTGAGTATTACACAGAGCAAAAGAGAGAGAAAATTGCTAGCAACTAGGGGCTTGTGACAGCTGGTAACTCTAATTAAATCAAGAAAAATCCAACTAGAGCCTTTCCTCTTGGATTTCTTGGGGACTGTCTGTATATAACTACTTTGCTTGTTTCATGAATACAGTTTCTCATACTCTAGAAGGCATCGTGATTCACTCACACACTATGTGCTTCAGTGCCCCCCAACTCTTGTTTTGCCATAATTTTCCCCACTGCCCTTTCCTGATGCTGGGCAGAGGTGTTGGTTGACACTG